TGGACTCCGGCGGGAACCCCTGATCCAACATGGGCTACTAACCAACCAACGTCACTGAAATATCATAGAATTACGCTATATGGTAATCAACGTTACAACTTAACCTGAGTAACTTTTTGTAACCGAAAGAAAATTAGAGAATTTCGTTTGATGTTTTATGAGGTGCATCGCTTACCACCTGTGCTGAAAAACGCATTCACAAATCAGCCCTCTAGGTCGCGTCTTGAAGAAAGGCGCATTTCGCATTTAATAAGTGACACAAGTTCTACGGAAAACCCTCCGTAAGTCGCAGTAATTAGCTTTTAAGACTAAGAAGAGGTCTTGTATTTACGTTTGCAAACAATGAGTTCCGGTATTTTAGCAGTTCAATATGCCAGTCCTTTTTTGGGCCAACAAGTTAGACACGTACTGTGTCGGCAGAATAAAGCAAATAAAATGTCGAAGACTTTCATCAACTGCCATCCATATTTATGCAAATATACGTAAGATGCAGTGTGGAAGTCTAGCTAATCTTTAGTGCTTTGGTAATTGCAGCTATTTTGTTTAAAGGTTGAGGAAAGCCAGACAGGCATAAGGTCTTTGATAAAGTAAGAGTCAAAAAGTTTCGCGCCGCAAAAATATCTGCCTCCCTTGAGTTCAATTTAGAGGCTCGAAATGCTTGCTTCTCGTGTTAACCTCGGTTCCCTTACTCTGTCAATGAAAAAAACTGCCAGACATAGGAGGTAGTACACGCAGCTCACTGACAGTGTTCTCTACTCGGCTTCATGATTACCATAACTGGAACATAAATGATGGAAAGACGCCAATCAAAATCTCGAGGATAAATAGAAAAGATGGTAGGAGGATAGCGTCGGCGACCGTTTATTGACACATACGCCAGGGAAATATTGACGTTCAGACAATCAATTTTTTTAACTGTTCTTGCGCATTTGTTATATGTCTGGCGAAAACTTCGGAAACCGGCGTAGAAAACTTCAAAATTTAGTAAGTGCAGAACATGGAGTTAAGTGAACGGGACATAACATTTTAGTGTCAGACCCAAAACTTTAACTAAAATTGAATCGAAAACAAGCAAGTACTATGGAATAACCAAGTAGTGCCCACTTTACAAACAACTAGTACTACAAGTAATATACATTTTATATGACGAAGATATTATATGGTACTCCCGGTATAGGTACTGGCCAAAAGCTTAAACACGTTTAGTCATGACGTAACAGCAAGGGATCCGGATTCGCAGCGAGTCCGTATACCAATTACCAGTTAATGACATCAAATCGCAGAATAGAACCGTTACGAAATGTGTTGGTTCCCCAAAATCCTGCCATGTGATTGTTTTACATTCACACGGCAAGCAAAATATGTGGGATTGTTTTAGAACTTAATAATACAACGCGATAGACAAAACTGATGGAACCTATTGCTGCGTATAAAGTATTCTCGAAGGCGATGCGATTTTCACTTCCTGCGCTGCAATAGGCTTTCGAATTTTTATTAAACAACCCCAATAAACTATCACGACAGAAGCAAATGCTTGTTCTAGTGATAGCCCACTACGATTACCCAGAATAAGAGGGAATGTGAAGTAAACTTTTTCTGTTGACGAAACATGCATCGTGGGTTGACTCTCGGTAGATATTTTGCATTAAGTTAGGGGTTAACTGGAATGTCCGCGTGGACCAGTACCAATATACAAATTTCAAAGGGGTAAAAATTTTAAAAAAAATCCTAGCTGACTACACAAACAAGCTCACCTAAGGGTCATAAATCGGACCTATCACTTCACAGCCAATTCACTGAAGCAAACTAAACAATACGTGCACCATTTACCGATTGCCAGTGCAATTTTATGCTGGATCTTGTCAGAGGAGAATGGGGAACAGCCAGAATAGCTGTCTGAAAAGATTCATCAACTTCCCAGAGCTATTCCCAAGATCAACCACCATTAAAGCGTTCAAATTTAGCAGAGAATATAGTTGAAATAAGTCACCTCACCTCAGACAACTGTTTTTCCCTTGTTTCGTTATCGCGATCTACTGCTTCAAGGAGACGATAATCCGACAAGAAGTTGAAATAATCATAGTCCTTCCGTGATACAAACGCAGCCAAATTACGCTTTCCAGAGCATCCAGCTTCTTTCTTATGGCGAAGACAGCATTCAAGGGAGCAGGTTTTTAGGGCACAGCGGGGGCATGTGTACTTAGCCTCGACAGAAGTGCAAACCTTGCACACTTCTGGAATCTTTATCTTTTTCGGTGTTATCGAAGGTGACTCCTCGGCTTCCTGAAGCCCTTCCGGATCCTGCAGTTGCATTCTAATTTTATATCTTTCCTTCAACGTTTGGGTTTCGTAATTCCAATGCGAATTTAAAAACGGTGCAGGTGAGGGTTAGTAATGGCAGCTGGAGGCTCGAAGGATCCCAGAGGATATCTTGTTACTTATTTGGGCCAAAGTAAAATACGCTCCACGTGAAAGTATCCAAATCACATAGACTATATCGAGATCGTATGACTTATAACTTATTAATTAACTGCACCCAAAACGTGCCGAATTTAAAATGGGACCAGCTTGTAAGCTAATTTTAACACTGTTTTGTCAATCCACAGGAAAACTATTGATTCTTGACGCTGACGTCTAAATGACAGATAACACAGTAAGCTGGTGCAACGTGTGAGTTCGTATTAGTGAACTATAAATATGGGTGAGTGAATGAACAATGTAGCAACTTACTCTAGCAGCCGAACGTACCGCTCGCACACTTTCCTTTTTGCTTTATTCGACGCTGATCGTATATATACTTTACATTGTAGCATAGCACGCAGGCCTTATGTTTTCTTTCTCTCTTTTGGTATGGAATTATCTAACGTAGGTGTCTGCCGAGTACCTTCAGATATCACCTCATGCACACACGAATCTGAATTGGGGTTCATTACATAGACATTGACACTGAGAGTGAAGCCCCACCAAACGTAGTGTTTAATAGATACCAGTTACTGACAGTTCGTGTGCTCAAACTTCATTAGTCTACGCAGCGGCACAACTTCCCATTTTTCCTTGGTACAAGCGTGACCGGTGATACCTCTATTGAGCCGGGGGGCTTAATTATGCTGGTCTTTATCATTTTATCTAATACCTTACTGATCTTAACCTGAAAGTGGTCTGCCTTTGCGTAGTTGTTGCTCGGGACGGGACATATCGACCAGCTTTTAACGTTAATGCGGCAGTCATATCTTGCTAAAAAGTATATGAACAATGGTCAGCCCCATGAGATGCAAGGTACCACTCTCAATCGTATATATACGCAGACGACTTGAAATGTGTATACTCCTTCTAATTTGAGCGATGCTTAGAACGCATTCATTCGGATCTGGACGATCTATCTGCGTGGAGCTCCACGTGGCAGATGGAGTTCTCGCCTTCAAAGTGCCAGTTCATGTGTTTTGGGCCTGAAAGGCTGCCACAGCCTATCATTT